ACTCCCGGGTAACGGAAAGCATTAGCGAATCATGGGTGGGTGGTCATCCTCACTGGTCTCATAATATAGCGGACTGTATGAGGCGCCAAATATGACAAAATAGATCATAGTTGTGTGATATATATTACTGCAAATATAATAGTATAACTTGTGATGAATAGGTTACTCTTCCAAATATTTAAATATTGAAAGCGCGTGATATATATCACAAATCATGGTTTATATCACAACTCGTGATATAGATCACATTTCAGCTCGTGATATAGGTTACAAATCATGGTTTATATCACAACTCATGATATAGATCATAATCCACAATGCAGCTCGTGATATAGGTTACAATTTCGCGTTCGGAATTACTTCATCTTACGACCCATATAGTTGACGGAGGGCTATTTTATATTCCGGGGGAGGGGGGGGGGGACATTACATTGGACCATTAATTGGACGACATATTCATTGTTGATGCTTCGCGCCTTCGATTTTGAGCTGTAACTGACCGTCGTAAACACTGCGGAAGCTTACGTTTTCATGTACCCACTTTTTTCAGGTGACCGGGCAAAAAATGATCAACTGTGCAAGTTCCGCGAGCAGTTAAAGTGAGTCGTCATGCAATTGGATGCATGCATCTAGTAACTTGCCGAGCATGCGCACAAAAAAATGTGCACAGTAGTTAACTGTGTATGTCTCTACTCTGTGGTAGTGTACACAAAAGTTACCACAATGCATAATTAGGGCATGGAACATTGTAAACACGGCGTAGAATGGCAACACTTAGCCTCAAAGCGCGACTTAAAGGTCTACACTGCAAATTGCATTTCTCATTTCCATCGTTGAATATGAATATTTCGTTGCCCTAGGGCGCCCAACACAAACGTTTCACCAGCGTTAGGTAAAATCTGGAGAACCTCTCGAACAACATTACACAAATCAGTATGGGTAATTTCAGTAAACGTGTTTCGTGGCCCACTTGTGTTGCTGACTGGTAAGCGGTACTCGTGGCGTCGTCGTAATATAGTTCGATAGCTCACTCAAATTTCCGCAGCAACTTGAGACCATCAGCTGCGGTGTATCCCATGTAAGTTGGTCAAAGCATTCTGCAGAAGACTGTATCGTCTTCTTCCTTTTTGAACAATTCCCTCTAATGGACAAGTAAAACTCAGCGGGTTAGCTAAGTTCTCATTTGTGATCCAAAGCGCGTCGTAACTATTGCACAATGATTGCAATTCAGACACCAAAATACCAAGATCATTCTGAATTTGTCGATCGTCTATGCGTTCTATTGCACGCTAGAGAAGTATATTTACAACAAATAAATTGTCTTCTAGGCGTCGCTGGATCCTGGATAAACTCAACAACATTGATATTGTCACAGAATAATTGACGACGCGCCTCTGTAATTTGATTTGGAATATTTCTCAAGAAAGCTTCGATGTTTATTTCTGGGCTTGTATGAACCTTTCCCCTTATAACTAAAATTTTAATCTAGAGTATAATTTCATCACCGGTTGAAAGAGCGTCACAAAATTAATAATATTGCGAAGTTTGCCGTTTTTCAGTCATTTTGTATTACGCACAGGAAATTGACAGCCCAATACACCCTTTTCATAAATGGCTGCCGATTAAAAATTCTTTTATGTGCATATAAATTGGCCCAACTAGCCTCGTACTCATGTTAAGATTTCAAAGGAATTTCTACCCAGAAACGAGGCTTGTTGGGCCAATTTATATGCACATAAAAGAATTTTTAATCGGCAGCCATTTATGAAAAGGGTATATTGGGTGTTGGGGCGTCAATTTCCCGTTTGTAATACAAAATGACTGAAAATTGCAAATTTCGCAAGGCTATATTATCCACATTTCGCAACGAAACTTTGGAAAATTACTAATTTTGTGATGCTCTTTCAAGCTGGATGAAATTTTTGGCTAGATTTGTCTAGATCAAAATTTTAGTTATAAGGGGAAAGGTCCATTCATGGCGCAATTTTGAAACCATGAAAACATTTTAAAATTTGAAACATCCCCCCCCCCCCTGAATATAAAATAGCCTTCCGTCCACTATATGGGTCATAAGATGAAATAATTCCGAACGCGAAATTGTAACCTATATCACGAGCTGCATTGTGGATTCTGATCTATATCACGAGTTGTGATATAAATCATGATTTGTAACCTATGTCACGAGCTGAAATGTGATCTATATCACGAGTTGTGATATAAACCATGATTTGTGATGTATATCACGCGCTTACAATATGTAAATATTTGGAAGAATAACCTATTCGTCACGAGTTATACTGTATGTATTTGCAGTAATATATATCACACAACTATGATCTATTTTGTCATATTTGGCGCCTCATAGGTAGCCGGTATAATAGTGAAAATGAAACCAACTGACGAATGAATTTATGCAAAAGTGAAAGGAAGAAATTTTTTACTTTTAAAAGATTATTCCGAAAAGACCTTCTACCTTTCCTGTTGTAAAATTTGAAGAATCTTATAATTACAAGTTTTCCTTTGCTTTCCGCAGATAACGACGAATTTGTTTGTATATACGAGAAGACAAAGACAATAGTGCATGGTAAGATATACATATAATAACTATTTTAAGATGTGTAGTTTGTCTGAAGCATGCATCTGTAAAACTTGAAGAGCTGCAGGAATTATGATTGCATTTGCTCTGCTGTAAACTTCAAACTTTATTCTCTATCTGTCTTGGAGAATGACTACCCTGGTTCCAGATGTTTATTTTTATTATTTTCATTGCGACGGGGAGAGGAAAAATAAACCTCTGGTGGTTGAAAGCGGCAATTGATTCATCGAGCCGCGCCAATCAGTTTGAATTAGGGTCAGATCCTGTCTTGTCAAGTGGTGGGGGCTTCGAAGCTCAGGGAAAATGCGGGGAAAAGAAATTAGTATTCACAGTGAGTTTATTGAATTCATTAGTGACTTTATACAGGGTGTCTCGAAAAAAGGAGACCTTTTGAAATTATCCTATTGTTGTGCTATTTAAAACACGAGTAGGAATGTTTATCAGATATAAAACGCGAGGTGCAGCCGTGTGCAAATCCGATCCGATCGGATTCGTTCTGATTTCGGAACCAAAATATTTATTTCTGATCGGATTGATAAAGTTGTTTCGTTGTCGGATCGGATCGGACTTCGATATCCGAAATAAAATGAATTAATTATCCACGCATTGTCGCAAGAATTAATTATCCATGCATTTATCAAAGTATCATTGCGGTTGTCGCTGCATTATTCGTTTTATACTTCAATTGGACGTCACTTTGTCAGCTTCTTGACATGTATTTCTTGCTTTTATATTTATTTGGTCCGTCAATTTGTTCCATGTTCTGATAGTTCTTATCCAGAATGATTTTTGGTAGGTTGTTGTTTTGCACCACGGGACTTTGTACTTTACACCTTTCGTATTAGTGGACGATCTTGTATGTCTTGTTGTCTTGGCTTGCAAGGCAAAGGACGGGCTGGTAATGCCGTGAATTACTTTGAAGAAATTAATCATATCAAGGTATTCATGCCAGTAACATATGGGCAGTAGATGGATTTGTAATTTACTGAACTGATAAATGGAAGATTAAGAATGTATTTTGTTGCACGTCTTTGAGGTTTTTCTAGTTTGAGCAGAAGTTCGATAGACTGGCGTCGCTTAACCAAGATGTGATCGTACCAGTGACAAATAAATGGTTCTTCTTGTTTTAACAAATAAATGGTTCTTCTTGTTTTAATGCTATTAATTGTTCGTGTGTTTCGTCTGATGTAGCTAAGCATTTTATTTGCTTGTGCACACTGTTCGTTGACATGCTTGTTCCATGTCAAATCGGACGATATCCTGACACCAAGATCACGTTCATGCTAATTGATGCTAGTGGAGCGTTATTCATAAAATAGGTGGTAGGGATTGGATTGGTTTTACGGGTGATTGATTGTGCTTTGCATTTTGCTTTGTTGAATTGTAAGCCAGATTCAGATAACCAGATCCCCAAGTTAGTGATATCTTCCTGTAACTTTACTGCATGATTAGGCGATTCTATTGCCTTGAAGACTTTGGTATCGTCCGCAAACATTGCAACACGATTTGACTTCACATTGCTTGGCAGATCATTGACGTAGAGGAGGAACTGTGCGGAATATTCTGCTCACCAACACGTCTCCACTCCTCAGTAAAAATAATACATAGTCAGCATTTTTAGCTGCAGCGGAGCATTGCAGCAGAGCACGTTTACTTCTGGAAAACACCACAATTTGTGGTGTTCCGGTTCGGCTTGTCCCAGGGCTCTCTGGGCGCAGATAACTGGGTTTTCTGCAGGTTGCGTGTTGCTATATTAATCTGTAAGCTATTAACCAATCAAAACGCATGTAGTGACTAGAATGTATAATAATATTTTTTGTCAACCTTTGTTTGACTCTCTAGCACAAATTGCCCAATTT